AAGGTATTTTAAGATCGGTTAAAATTTAACGATCTTAAAATGTCTCTCTGGTGCTATTTTTAAAATCGAGTTTTGAAGAACTGATTTTGTAGATAGTATACAAAACCGGTTACTTCCAGAACCGATTTTGTAAACCTAATATAAAATTGATTATTAAATGACTAATTTTAAAAACCTTATACAAAATTAAGGAATAGGGTTCCCCTTTTCTCCTTTCTCTCTCACGCTGCCCCTTCTACTCTCAAATCTTACTCCCTTCTTCATCCATTTTCATTGTTCTCAAATCTTGTCGTCGTAGCTGTCATTGTTGAGGTACATTTTCATTGTCGTTGTTGTTGAAGACTTTCACCCATTCACCATTGCCATTTTCTCTCTTACATCTGCCATCTTTATTTGTTGTTTCTGTCGTTAAGGAGTTTCACCCATTCGCCTTCGTCGTTAAGGAGGTATGAGGGGGATTATTTCCTCCAAAATCAATTTCTCTTCTTTCCTTCGATTATTTCATCTTTCAATTTCATGTTTTCTAGAGATGAATTTCGTTTTTAACTCAAGAAAGCTATGTGAATATAAGTTAATATCATAAAAATTATTAATGGCATATTATTGAAACGTACAAAAAGTAGTTTGAGAATGAATTTATTATGTACAGAAAAAATATTTTTAAAATCGGGATTTTAAAATCGGTTAAGAGAGAAACAATTTTAAAAGTGATGCGGTGATATTTTTGTAAATAATTTCACTAATTTTAAGATCGGTTAGAATTTAATCGATTTTAAAAGGTATTTTAAGATCGGTTAAAATTTAACGATCTTAAAATGTCTCTCTGGTGCTATTTTTAAAATCGAGTTTTGAAGAACTGATTTTGTAGATAGTATACAAAACCGGTTACTTCCAGAACCGATTTTGTAAACCTAATATAAAATTGATTATTAAATGACTAATTTTAAAAACCTTATACAAAATTAAGGAATAGGGTTCCCCTTTTCTCCTTTCTCTCTCACGCTGCCCCTTCTACTCTCAAATCTTACTCCCTTCTTCATCCATTTTCATTGTTCTCAAATCTTGTCGTCGTAGCTGTCATTGTTGAGGTACATTTTCATTGTCGTTGTTGTTGAAGACTTTCACCCATTCACCATTGCCATTTTCTCTCTTACATCTGCCATCTTTATTTGTTGTTTCTGTCGTTAAGGAGTTTCACCCATTCGCCTTCGTCGTTAAGGAGGTATGAGGGGGATTATTTCCTCCAAAATCAATTTCTCTTCTTTCCTTCGATTATTTCATCTTTCAATTTCATGTTTTCTAGAGATGAATTTCGTTTTTAACTCACGTTGTGTGTTGAAACCTACCTACTGCTTTGCCAGAACGGCCCGTTTCAAAATTGAAACGGCCCGTTCTGGGACACAAATTGAGCCTTTGGCCCACGAAAAATGGGCTGTTACAATATATAATTTTAATATATTATAATTACATATTATATATAGTAATAAATAAGTTTTTTTTATTTAAGATAAGTCGATCTAATAAGTCTAATAGACTTTTAAAATAATTAAATATACTTTAATTAAAGTCATATCATGATTTATTTAAATAATTTTTTTAAAAATATTTTAAAAAACCTTTTTTTAATAAAAAATCTTGAAAATACTAAAAATTGAATATAAGTTTGACTATAGTCATGCTAAGTGGTGTGATCTATTTCTATTTCTAAGTGTGGTCGTGTGCCATAAGTTGTGTAAGATGCATGATCATCATGGTTAAGTAGTTCTCCTTTACTTGTTAAATGTGTGTTAAAAGATATGACTTACAATGGTTATATTATTAAAATCATAAGAAACGAGAGACAGAACATAATTATGAATATATTGATATTTCCCCCCATTAAATATTCAGCTACTTTGAAATTAATAGAATGAAATGGAATACAATATAATAATATTAAATTTAAATGCGTCAGTTCAGTAAAAAAAAATATAAAGAAATCAGAAGAAATGTATTCTATTATCTCAAATATTTTTTGTAAAATTTAAATTTCAAGATAAAACTATTTGCACATCATCAAAATTTTTTAAAACAATTAAATAAGATAAGTATATATTTAAAGACCATTTTTTAGTGCAATATTTTAAGTATTTCGATATTAAAATTAGTAACAACTAACCTTTATTTCTGAGGTTAATTTATAATTTTGACAAAAATTATTAAAAAAATACTATACAAATCTTATATTTATTCTATAATGACCGGCTGCATACACAAGGCAGGATTTGAACCCCTGACCTTGCTTAAGCGTGGATTAACCCCTACCGCTGAACTACACGCTTGGGGTTATTCTATTACAATATATATATATGTGTGTAAAATTTCTAATTTATTAACTGATTTTTTTAATAATGTAAAAATATATTATTTGTTTGTTTAGAAAAGAAAATAATCCTCATTATATTAAGGTGGTTAGCGTGATTTTTTTTCCTTTTTCATATGTAGGAATCGATTCAATTTCAAAAAGTTTATTACGACACACACTTTATTTAACTAATTAAACTAATTTTTTTTTTATTTTAAGTTAAGAAATTAAAAAGAATAAATTAATTGGGATATCAATAATAATAATAATTAAATCTGCTTTTAATTCATATCAAATGAGTGAGTTTTGATTTTAGTTTTTTGTAAAAAAAAATTATTTTCACTTTAAAAAAAATTGTAAACATTCTTTTTACTCTTTGTAAAATGAGTATATTTTGGTTTTACTCCCTACAAAAAAAAAATACTTTCATTATTCTAAAATATAAATCAATATTTTTTTTGTCCTTCATAATAACTTTATAGTACATAAATAATATTTATTTTAAGAATTTATAAATAAAAAATTCAAAAGTGTCACACATTAACATGACATTATTAATGATTATAAGTAATATTTGATATAGTCAATTAATTTTTTAATAAATAAATAAGTAGTTAAAAAATAATTACATAATAATTAAATTAAAAACAATATTTTAAATTTTTAGAGGATAAAAAACTATAAAAAAAAATTATAAAGAACAAAATCAAAATTTATTTATTTTATAAAAAATAAAACATATTTATATATTATTATTATTATTATTATTGTTATATTTTAAAGTTTCCTGTCAACCTGCATCACATTAATTTGGACCCCTAAAGAATGATCCTGTGAGGACTACAACAAAAAAAGTCATTTAATAGTACTTAAATAAGATCTTTATTAGCATTTTGACGTGTTATTTATGTTCATGGTATTAAAGGAAAGCTATCTATAATAACATAAAATAAGTATTATTGTTAAATATAATTAAATAACAATTATAATAAACAAATACCGTCTTAAAGCTAATTTAAACATCACTTATTTAAAAAAAATATTTAAAGAGATCTTATTATAACACTTATTTATTGTAAGTGTTGCCTAACTACGTTTTATATATAATTATATTTGTTGGCACTTTAGACAAACGCTATTTATATAATTTTTTTTGTAAATATTATTTTTTAGACTCTTTTTTTTACAACATCTTACATTTAATATTTAAATTAATTCATCCAATATTTAAAATGTTTCAGTTAATTACACAACATTTAAATTGAAGGGTGAATTAAATAAAATTATTTTTTTAATATTACTTATAAATCATATGTACATTTTCATAATCTCATGCAATTTAATTAAAAATACTAGTCAATCAACTAATTTGATTGCTAAACGAAATCTCTATTAAAATTGTGACAGAATTTTTACCTAGTAATATGATAAATCTGAAATTTATTAAATATCAACGATGGAGTTGGACACTGATCCTGTGTTAGGATACACACTTCACTTATCCTTATTGTAGCGGGTCTGATCCCGGGTCTCGGTCTTCTCGTTCCTATCCGGGTAGTCCGATGTGAGGGAGGTGTGCCTGCAAAGACACTCCAACGCTCAAGTAAGTGCTCGGCATAATAAATGCGGTAGTTGAAAGTTGGATACGTACCTCACAGGGGGTCTATTTATAGTGTTTCTTATTGGGCCGTGATTAGGGACTGGGCTCCGGATAATTAGGGGGTTAAACCGAGATATTATGTAAATTAATCTCTCCATAATCATCCTGGCGTGAATGTGTTTGAACCACTTGGTTACGTGATTTGGTGTTCGGACCGTTCGGCCTCATACGGTACAGACACTAACATGTATGGTGAGTGGGTGAAAACCTCATCAAAGCCTAATTATAATATGCTTTGTTAAAACAAAAGAATTATAATATGCTTTTTTAAAACAAAAGAATCGTCCAAGCTAATTATAAGCTTTGCATTGCGTAAAGCTAACGTCAGACGCAATCACATCGCCTCAATTGCTCATCATGACAAACCCATCTTATCTAATTTCCATCCAAGGGTCAAAGAATACACTATAATTATTGTATGCACTCTCGTGGAACAAGTTCTACATAATTTAACTCCTGATGGATTATATAATACATAACAATAGTTATAAATTGTTATTAAAAAAAAACGCACTAGCTAAAAGAAGCAATAAAATTCATATTTATATTTATTATCAAAAGGAGGGAGATCTCTTCTCTAGAATTTGAGTTTTTTTTTTATTACACAAAACTCTAATAATGCGATAATTTTGTAATCATCATAAAAGAGGTAGGTTCATTAGTTAAGATTGAGTTAGAGTGACTCATCTAATAAATGGGGGAAATAAGAAATAAATAAGTTTAGACTCGAATTTAGATTTTTTTCTATAATTTTTTCTTTCTAGCCTCTCTTCAACAATAATAATAATTATTAGATATATTTAATGACTCAAATTCAATCTTATTAATTAATGTTATTTCTTAAATGATTTTATAAGATTGAATTTGAGCCATTAGATATATCTAATGACTATTATTATTGCTGGAGAGAGGTTGAAGAGAGAAGATTGTAGGAGAGGATCCAAATTCGTTTAGGCTCTTGTTTGCCATAAATAAAAGGAATCACTTCTTCACATGAACATATTTTGCTTATATTATATGTGCTCAAACATCTTCAATAGTTATTATATGAAATACACATTAAGAGATGAGAGATATAATGTATTACAATATTAATAAATTTGTCTTTAAAATTAACTAGCTTGAGTCTCTTTTTCCGATAAACTTGCAATTATGATATGCAGTTTGAGCTACTTCACTTTTTTGTCTGATATCCTCGTACATCTTCAATGATACCTCAGAAAATTTAGTGAGTTGATGAATAACCTTGATTAAACTTGTATGTATGCAACACAAATGTGAAGATGCAAAATCATCGTCACTTTCTACATTAGTTTTGCTCTCAATTCCTCCACTAGTGCTTGAAATACTTGAGTTCTGTTTTTCATTAAGGTCTCTATCATGCTGCTTTATCATGCAATGAAGATCAGATACAAAGTATTGTATTGCATGACTTAGTTCCTCAGAAGGCAAAGCCTTGACCCAACTTGACCAATCACGACAAAGAACAAATATAGGTGGGGCCAAAGCACGGCGAGGGGAGAATGGCTTTGTGCTCTTGGAACGTTCCCTTGGTTGTAGTACACAATTTTGTAACCATCCATTAAGAGATTTAATATATGAGGTTTGGCTGTTGATCCAGTTAGAAAAACTTAGACCAAAGCACTCAAACTCTTCTAGTAGTTGAGCCATTATCTCTCTTCGGGTGTTTCCTTCCAAGGTTCTTGTTAAGCTCCTTGAATGATAAGCTAAAGAGATTGTAATGTATTGTGCATGATGACATTCAAGCATAGTCTTCCACATTCTCATCAACCTACACTACTAACATCTCCATAAGCCAAATTACTACAAATTAAGGTCATGTTTGATAAAATTCTTCCTAAGTGCTCAAGAAAAAAATAAGAAGGTAAAATGAATGGAGTTTCTTATGCAAACTAAAATCAACTTATGTACTTCAATTTTTAGAAAAATTAGATGAGAGAAATTTTAGCTTAAAAGAAAGAATTCAAATCATTCTTATTTTCTTTTAAGATAAATTTATAAAAAAATTTATTAAACATGGCCTAACTCTTGATTATCAAGGAATTATAGAGCCCTTAAATGCTAATAGTAAACTACTAGTAAAGCTTCAAGTTCAGAAGCAGAAATATGGAGATTCGAAATCATCACTTACCCTTGAGTTAATTCCAAAAATTGTGGGAACAATTCTTCATCACTCATCTTCTCAATTCGTTTAGATATTAAATCAACATAATAAATAGCCACTATTATTTGTGAATACAGATCTCTTGCTGTTGATCGGGTTTTGTCAATCACTTGACTGCCTTGATCTTTTGTAAATTGGTGTCTAAGTTTATCACATTTTCTATCAAACTGCTTCCTAATGAATTCACCGGCCTACAAATTAACAACAATTTAGTCAACAAATAAGGGATTTAAAACACAAAAAATAGGATGTGCAACTAGCAATGCATTTAACCAGGTGACGAGACTAGACAAAATGTTAATGTTATTCATACACATTTAGACTTAGCTACTTATTACAGGGACAGAACAAATATAAGATCATCCTGAACACTTATTAATAATTGAAGTCTGAAAGAAAATATACTCCTTGCTTTTCACCTCTTAGATTTTAACGACTATATCTAATGCTTCTTGAAAACCATTTCAAATCTACGGTTGAAAAACATTAATGGACTTATGAAGAGAGATAAAATGGAAACAGAGAAGATTCAAATAGAAAATAATTGGTTACATAGCAATAGTTTTGTAATGTAAAATAGCATACTAGGATATTATGCGATGTCAAGCATTTTTTTGCTAATTGTGTAATACCTTTACTTCATCATAAAGTTTTCTCTCCCACGCATACAATCTTTCAAGGGTGCATGAATGGCTTCCATCAATCATGCAAGGTTCTTCAACAAAGTTACTTTCATTAGCATCCATATATTTCTTTGATGTTGTAGTTAATGAGCTCCTGATTGAGGCTGATTGAGAAGATACTGTCCGCTTCCAACTAATTATCTTTTGTGCTGGTTCTACACAGAGGATTAGTCCTTCATTTTTCATAAAAAAGAAAAGAAAAAAAAAGGGTTGCAGAGCTGTGCAGAGAAAGATAACTCTCTTTTGAAACCATTAGTATATCAAGATACTGGATTGATAGTTAGAGGCTGAAGTCTAAACACAGATTAGAGAAACTAACAAACAGAATACACTAATACAGAATAACTAACTCTCATAACCAATTAGCCGATTTAATTAATTAGTAATTAGTGATATTAAACATTATGATCATGTTTTTGCTATTATAGTAGATACATTTCATTTTGGAAGATATGGCTGATCTCATAAAAAATTTAATGAAGGGTCTGAAAAAATTTTCGAGGGTAAATATAAAATAAAATCCCTAATTTACATAATTAATAGACTCTCTACAGAAAATGGCAAAACCAAACCATGATGAGAAGTGAATTAATACAAATCAGTGTCTATTAACAAAATAGAACTTTACCTTGGAGAACAGGTGTAGCCTTTTCACCACAGCAAGGAAACATAAAAGCCGTGAGCAAAATCGTGGTAGATGACTTCCCTATCATAACAAGATTAATATTTAAGTCTAGCCAGCTATATTCTACACGTTAAATACATAATTCATAGTAAGCTAAGTTGTTATTAAAAAGATTAATATAATTAAGCAGCAACCACCACCTTTTGCCTCAGAATATCCAACCTTGATTTTGTTTGCCTCCAATAGCCTCGAAACCTCCCTACCAGATTCAGAAGCTCGAACAAAGCGATGCTCTATAACCTTCATGCTAGAAAGAAAATCTTTAGCCCTGTGCGTTATGAACTCAGAAGGATCTTCCCTCTCAGTGTTCACACCAAAATCCTTATTCTTCTTTGAACTTGACCCTCCATCATAACTTGGTGACTCTAGCTTTCTCACTTCTCCATCACCTTTTTTATCAACTTGTGACCATTGACCCCTTGACGAATCCATGAATGGATCAGTTTCTTCTTCATCCTTGTAGTAACTTGCACGCCCTACAAACTTAGCATTATCAAAGAAATCCCAAGAGGCTTCACTCTCACTGGCTTCATCATCCAAACAATTGTTGTCACTGTGAGGATTGATCATAACAGTCACATTTGCACTGCCACTTGTCCTCATATAACTCACATGATGATGACGACTATCATTGTCCAATGGTGACTTTGAAACATAATCATCACCATCATCATCATCAACATGTGAAGGTGATGGAGAAGGGAAAGTAGATTGAGATGATGTGTGATCTGAAACCGACAATGATGATTCTATCAACATCTCTGCCTCAGCGTATCGTCGAAGAGCGACACCAATGTTTCGAAGAGATTGAATGTAAGACAAATGTGCAGCAGCAAGAGCATGTTTTGAATCAATGGCCTCCTTGATCAACCTCCTTCGTTCCCTACAAAGACGCAACGCTTCGTTCTTTTCAGCTTTGGAGCTCACACAACCCATTTTCCTTTCAAAGCTCGAAGTTCAAACGCTTCAGGAGTCTCTTCACCGTGTTATCATTATCCATTCACCAAACACTGTTCTACTTGTGACACACTGACACCAACAACAATTTCCATTAACTGTGCGATGGTAAAATGTCACAATAGCGGGAATAACTCTCCTTCAAAATGTAACTTGCATTCTTGGGACAGAGTAACAGTTTGAGTTACATGGTTGGGAGAGAAAGTGGACAAGACAAGAACCTTGGACCCAGTTAGCGAAAACAAAGGCTATTGTTATTTGTTCATGATGTATGATCAAATAGTTTTAGTATTGAGCAATGATTTTTGCAACTTTTAATTTCTCTTTATCTTTTTATTCTTATTAAACATAGTTTTAAATTAATATCTTCATGACATGTAATCAACTGTTTTAATTTTTTTTCATAAATTTAAAAATTGAAATATGTCATATAAAAATTAACTTAATGATTTTAAACTATCAAATAAATCCCCTTTAACATCATACATGTATTTTTCTTCCTTTAGGTGTTAGAATAGTTTGGAGGTTTAAAAATATATTTTGTCTTTAGTATATTACTTGGCACAGACAAAAGCAAAGGAGTGATTTTGTTTAGAAGTGAAGGAGAAGGAACTAGGAAGGAGTGAGTGATGAAATGCAATGCAGAGTCCAAAAGTCCAAATTATTATGACAAAAACAAACTTGATGCGTATGAGTGTCGTTATAGGTTGGCTACAGTGTATGGAAAGGGATGCAACGCAAAGAGTTAAAATTAAAATACTTGTTAGTGGCAGTGCAACATTGAATAATGATAATGGCATAAGTTGGATAATTCATTCCAGTTCATGTTGACTAAGATAGGGGGAAAAAAAGGTTAAACCTATTGTTAGGCATTAGGCTTAGCAAGGAAGGAGAAAGGAAGAACGTAGAAGGAAAGTGACAAAAGTTCAATTAGAAGAAAGAATGGTTGAAAATTGAAATTATGGAATGCTTCTCATATTACGTAATTGCCCTTAGAATTTCCCCGCAATCGGGTCCTTAAAACCCGCTTCTATTTCTTAGTAAAAAATTTTCATTAATAACCTTTTTTTCTAAATTTATCCAGAGTTACCTGAAATGTTTTACATACTTGTATGTGATTTATGTATTACTTTCTCCATCAACAAGTGTAAGTTTTTTCTTTTTTATGTATATCAAGAAAAGATAATGAATAAAATATATAAAGAGAAAAGAGATCATTTATTTATTATTTTACACAATACTTATTATAAAACGAAGGAGTAAAGTTTTTCAAGTAATAGTGTTTTATCCTTTCGTTCGTATTTAAACTTTAAATAAAAATGCCTATCAAATTAAATAAGTAATCTCATGATAATTTTCTATTATCTTTCGATATTTGTTAATATTTAATTAAAAGTACAAAAATTAAGATTTGTCGGTATGAGTCTTTGAAATTATTTACAATTGTTATTGGCAATGCAAATTCCAATGAATATGATAAATTATCAAACTAAAAAAGTTGTATTTGATAAAATAAAAAATAATAATAAATTAATTATACTTTGAAAAATTAAGAATATGTTCTCACTTCAAAGAATGAAATGGGCCACCTCAAAGAACAAGATTGGGCCTTCCTTGAATATTTTCTCACTTCTCAGTCTCAACTCCAATTTTGTCTCTTCACCAAATATAAAAAGCTTTAAAGGTCATGGAGTCACGGACCAAAAAAATACTAGGGGAAAGGTCATACAGTTCTATCCCTTCACCAAACATAAAGATCATGGACCCACAAAAATTGACAAAATTTATAGTTGCATGTTACCAATAAAAGGTCATTGACTCATAGTTCTACATGCATTATTAAACTAACATTCAGTCCTACCCTATCCATTACCAATGGTCATATATAGTTGATTACGTTGGGCATTAATTACATCATGACTAAACTAACATGTCATGATATTATGCAAACAAACAACCCATGCAACTACGCACCCAAGCCGCCTTCCCTCGACACCCGGTTCCAATTCCAGCTTTTCCTCAGATTGTTAGCCACACTGCATCACTTACCTACATCTCGGTAATGCCTCCCTTCTCCTCATTCCTCCGCTTTCTTAATGTTCTTAATTTCTTCCCTTAACCTCACCGCCATATACCACCACTTTCACCTATATATGCATATGAATTCCTCACCATAATGCTAATGCCACAACAAACTCTTCCATTCTTATACCCTCTCAACGTTAGGCGCCAAACCAACCAATCCTACTATATCACTCGCTCGTCATGGTGTTGATCAACGAAGAAATCGACCCTTATGCACAAGTTAAACCATAAACATCGTATCAATGACAATGTTTCTTCTAAATTTTCTTCTTTTTCTTATTATTAATTATATTACATTAAAATTTTCCCTCCTCATTCAACACATTTTGTACGTTCCACACTATCTTCCTATTTGTCCCATCTCACATTAGTTTCACAGTTTCATTATTCAAATAATACAATAAAATTATGTTTTGTTAATATTTTAACGGTAAAAATAAATCAAAGTCATTGAAAGATTACTTATTACACTTCATTTTTTTAACTTCGAAAATTCTTTAACAAATTCCTTAGTTTTCTACGTTACATATATAGATTATTAACTAAAGGTAAAATAAAAAAAAGGGGACCACTTTATTGAAGAGTAACATGCAGGATTTGATTTGCATTTTTAATTTGAGTGGTATGAGATTTGTTAATCTTAATCATCCAAGGCACACAAACCACAGAAGCATTATCTAGTTCTAGTCTTTGCGTCAAGTATCGTCCTTTGGTTATAATATCACATGACTCTGACACATTTAGGTCCCATGTACACCTAAGCTTACAACTCCATTGTCTTTATTCCACGTTTAAGTACGATCACATGTGACCCCAAAAAAGAAAAATGGTACTACGTATTCATAATGTTTTTTCCCCCTTCTGTCACGTGTGTTCATCGCCTCATAAGAAAAAAAAAGTAATGTTTTTTTAAGAGAAAAAATATTCTGGTTGATGTTCATTGGCCTAAGTATTTCTTTTTTACATAATAAAGATCGAATACGTTTTTTTAAAATAAATAAATTGTTTCAATAATACATTAGTTATGTAACTACTAATACATATATTTAAATTAATTTGAATGTACGACAGAAAAAAAATAAGAAGAAAAGAAAAATAATAAATGTGATCTATATTAATATAGATATGAGAAAAATAATGAAAAAAATATGTAAGATAAAAGAAAAAATAACTGTATGATAGTAATTAGCCCTACATATTTGGAACGGGAGTTGGATGATTTTAGACATATTTATCTTTGTATTTAATAATATTATATATTTATGTTTAAAATCGATTTTAGTTAAATTTTAATAATAAATAATTAAATCAATACAATTTATTCACATAATGTATATAGAGCTTAAAATATCATGAATAATTAAATAGTTAAGTTAAAGATAAATAAAATTATGGTTAAAATATAGTTTATAATATGTATATAAAGATAACATTATTTAATATAAAATATTATTTATTTATAAATTTTATTATTGAAACAATTACTTAAACAATTTTTTTTAAATATAAGATATTGAATCAAATTGAAGTTACTCAAAGTTTAAATCCCAACATGATGTTGCTCATAGTAAATTGATGCATACTCTTTTTTTAACAATATTTTTGTCCTATTATTTATATAAATAATTGTAATTATAATATAATTTTTTGGTACATTGTTATTATAAAACATAAGACTATGATAAGTATTTTTAAATTTAAATAGTTATTTTTATTTTAAGTAAGTCAAATTATTTAATCTATTAATTTGTGATGTACTAGATTGATTTTTTTATTATTTATAAATTTACTTAAAAATTAGTTGGATTGAGTTGGTCTGCCTATAAAATAACTTGTGATCGTAACACTATGTATTTTTGATAATATTCATTATTCTATTAAATTATATGTTGTAACAGTTTGTTGTTTAATTGTCAAGAAACTCTAAAAATTTAGGAAGGAACAATTATTGAACAGGAATGTCGCATGTTGTGGTAATGATCTATGGTAATGACACGAGTTAACAAGATTTCACACGTAGTGCCACGCCGATTACAACCTTTTGGTACGAAGCATGTTGTGGCAAAACTACCATGAGCTTGCTGGACATTATCTGCTGTGGTTTGCCTTACGTAATCCAAGTATGTTATATACTTAGGGTCAAAGGTTATTAAATTACCTAGACTAAGGAAGGTATGGTTAATTTGATTTAGGAATCTACAGAGGGTAAAGTGTACTATTCTTAATAGCCAGAAAATCTTGTACATGGGATATGGTACCCCTTGTACCAATATTATATACATTTTACGTCTTTTGCTGTTCAAAAAAAAAAAAAAAAAGAGTATATAAAATATTTCTTAAAAAATAAATTTCATAATTTCATTTTCTTAAGAAAGTTATAGAGGGGAGCTCTAGAGCTAAAGAGATTTCCTTTCCTTTTTGAGTTTATATAGAGCATGGAACCCTTCCTTGGAGATTGTTAAGTAGTTGTGTTGTGATTCAAGTCCATAGAGTTGAGAATCAAAGACCTAAAAGGAGTAAAGCAGAGTTCTCAGAGTGTCTCATTCTTTTCTTCTCTTCTTCTTTTTCGAATTAATTTAGAAATAAGGAAAGCTAGAACTTAACTCTTTGATAATTTACGATGTTGTATGTTGTCTGAGTGTTGCTGAATTATGGCCATGTTGGTTGGATTTTGAGGTTGAATGTCGAGGTTGGGGTTTCGTGGTCCTTATAGCATGTTGAAATGAAATTTATGGGTTTAGTTAATTATTGGTTGCATATTGTAATTTTGGTTGGAAATGAGAGAATTATGGTGTGTAATATCATTGCATGTTGGATTTTCTTGAGTTTTAGGTGTGGAAAGTCAAATTTGTGATTCTTGTAATTGCAAAAATCACCATCGTGTTGAGCATAGCTTCAAGACATTGGGCGTGCATGATGCAGGTTAGGGACCTTTTCCTCACTCTCGCTTAGCACAAGATTGGTAGCGTCAAGCGTGAATCAGAGGAGAGTTCTCTGACTTGATCACACCAAACATGGGTTGAATGACATCAAACGCAAGATTTTGAATGAAAAATGTGTTGTTAATTGGCTAAGTGTTGAACATTGTGTGTATAAGTAGGAATATTCAGATGTTGTATATTGTTGTATGATTGTAATTCTTTATACATTGATATA